CACGTGTGCCCCTGGAGCAGCCAGGGTGGTGACGCCGAAACAGGACCAACACCCCAGCTGTGGCACTGCTGAGACACAGCTCTGTGGCAGGGCGGTACGAATGAAAATGTCGTGTCGGCCCCAGGAAGGCTCGGTGTAACAGATACTTTCTTGTCTCTAGCGCAGGGTGATCTGGCGTTACTGGAAATCCTGAATTCATCAACAGATACATGGAAAATTCTTTAAAAAGTCACGAAAAGTAACAAAAAGTTTCTGTCTCCCCAGATGTAATAATTATGTAATGCCTATCATTTTTTTGATTGCTTTTGGTTTACAGTTCATTTCGGATTTATATTCTGCAGCCATGTAAGGATTATTCTGTTTGGAGGAACTCATCAAACTTTCGTGTTTCAAGTGCATTGCAGCATAACTGGCTGCAGTTTTAGCTCAACCTCACCACTTTGCGTGAAAGGGGAATAGTGGGATGGGAGCCTTCGGTTATTACTCAACCATTTCATGGAATATGCTACAGACCAGAAGCGTGGCCTTTGATGAATTAGTTCTTAAGTAAGAACATACTTCAAGTGTTTCTGTCACAAGAGTAACTCCTTTCCTTCTGTGCAGGGGGAGGATATTACAGTACCATAATTAATAAGCCACTGCCACCCCTCCTCCCAAAGATACATAATCTGTACCTGCATTTAGATTTTTGGAGCTCTCTGACAAAGGACAGCTTCAGCTTGTGGCAGTCTTGGTATTTTATTACGCTTTGCAAGCAAGAAGCGAGCCATGCAGCCTTAACTAGCAGAAGTGGGGGTGCCAGGAAATGGAATTTGTTTTAAAGTGGAGCCTAATTAGCTTCTGAAATGGATTTGATGGATGTGGTTGCCGGAGGTAGCAAAAACTAGACATGATGACCCAGAAGATTGTTTCCTGTCCAGTGCAAAGGATGGGAATAAGACTTAGCTATGCAAGAATCAAAATTAATGAAATACAAGGCAGGGCCTGTTTCTTGCTGGATGCTTGTGAATGTCTAGACCAAAAGGGCTGACTGAATCTTGGGCCTACCCGATTCCTGCTATGGCTCGCACCAAAGCAGAGGGTATGAACCCGGATTGTGCAAGTATGCTCCTTGACACAGTGTCTGCAAATCTGCAGACTCTGGCACTCACTTTTACACAGAAAATATTATTAGAAAAATCATTTGAAATCTTGGGATAAATCTTTCCATGGGTTTGCCCAAAACCAGCCTTGCCTTCTATGTTCAGCAAGGAAAATAAGTGCATGCTTTTTTTAGATGTTTCGTAATAGTGAAAGCTGGCTACTGTGCCCGATGAAAGACATGAAAAGGGATTGGTTTTATACCAAAGCAGGAAAAATCCTTGAAGGCTCTGAGTACTATGAAAACATGCTCATGCATTCTCTTCTAGCAGTGGCAACATTGCCTTATGAACGCTCACGCCTGTGGAATTTCCCACCTCTATAGATCTGCTCATCCAATTGCGCAAGCGAGTGGTTCCCTTAATCCTTTTCACTACAAATAAACTGGGTTACATTAAACAGCTTAGCCATAGGGCTCTCCCAGCTCGACCCCTTTTGGCTTACAGCTGGGGAGTGATCGTACAATTAAGAGCTGCTGTCAGACCTTGATGGCAGTGAATGTTGGTGGAGTTGAGCCATGAGGGTGATTTCTGTACCTAGGAAAAAGGATGAACAGGATAGCCGAAAGCTGAACCTCAGGACTGGTATTTCAGTCTTGATCTTCAGTATAGGCATGTGGAAAGATTCTAAAAATGACTATAAACACATCAGATGTGCAGTTGGCTTCCTATGCTATCACCCAATGGCAGCTGTCTAGAGGCCAGTATAAGAAAAGTCCATGCATAAATCAGTATTTTGTTATCCCCTCCCAGCTTCCAGTAAGGTGCAGCTTAGGGACATCCCAAGACAGTGGTGTAACTCAGTTTTTAACAGCCCCCGATAGACTTCTGCCTTGCATCTTTATTGAACCCAGATTTTGGTAAACTGCTGCTCAGAACTCTTACTTGGAAAAAATCCCTACCAGTCCTTTCCACTTCTCTCATCCCTTCCTCCCCACAAAGGTATTTCTTTGGGATGGCTGTAAACAACAGTCGGGGGGTAGCAGTTTTGTGTATTTTGGCTCTTCAAAAGATTTTGTAGGCAAGAGATCTCAGTGTAGTTTAGGAAACCAGCAGTGGTGTTGGCATCATTAGGCTGAAAACTATTCTCAAAAACTACGTATGTTCTCACTTAGGCTGTTTGCTCGCTTTCTTAGGAAAAAAAAAAAAAATCATGATTAAAGGGGAAAAAATCCTTCTGTGACTGTGTAAGTAATAGAATCCATCCACAGAGAATCTCGATTACACACTCAAAGCTCAAGATGAGCAAGTCTTTTCTCCGTTTTTGGTCAAGCAAGATTTCTGCGCTGCTCCCGCTCCGCCGAAATTAATAGTTGAGGCCGATGAGTGTGCGCTCACCTACTTCAAAGAATGGACCGAGTCCAAGCAATTCTTCTGCTACAACAGCCAGGTCTCCAAGAGAATACCCAAATAGCAATGTCACGGTCTATCACCCACCCAGAGCTCCACTGCACATGCCTCCACCCACCAGCTCAGCAATTCCAGCTACGTAAGGACATACACAGGGAGGTGAGGCCTCCAACTTCATACTCCAGCTATAACCGCCCTTCAGGAGGGGCCGAGGCTCCCTCACAGGCTGCTCTTCCACCTGGGAGAAAGCCTGTGAGAATTCCTTTCCTTTGGACTATCCAGGCAGGACCACAACAGAGCAGGTTAGACAGGGCAGACGGTTGATGAATTAGCACACAAACACGAAGACAGAATTTTGCCACAGCGTGAACGTATTATTTATCGCATACTGTATTCCCCAGTAACTTACGCTCTTAAGAAACCAGAAGGAAAACAGCGTTCTCGGTGTTTCCTTTTGACAGACTGTATTTCAGATTTTGGGCAACAGTCTTGGCCCTCTGTAATTCTTTCAGCCAAAATATTCAGAGCAACATGCCAAAAATCATACTTAAAAATCCAAATTTAAGCAGCTGAACCAAAGTGTCTTGCTTTTCTCAATTTCTATTCAAAATTTCTATTTCTTTTCTCTATTTCTATTGGACCCCCATTAACACAACAATGGATGAAGACGCCAATATTTGAAATGTATTTCATGTAATGACTGAGAGAGAAGCTTTTGCAAAGAAAAAAAAAAGGCAAGAGTGAACAAATCCACGTGGATTATACATGCGTTTATCCTTCACAAAAGCTGTTATGGAAATTTAGGTTGCTTTTTATTAAAGCTTCTTCTGAGATGTTTGCAGCTAGCCATTATACAAGGCTGCCATCAAAAAGGATGAATACTTACCAATAAGGTTGACTAGAAGTTCTGCTCATCACAATTGATTAATCTCTTCTCGGTTTGCCTGTATGCACAGGCATACTGAACCGTCAGCTGCTTGATAGGGAAACAATTCTAAAATGATGAATGTTCTTGACAATGTCACCAATGCATAAGAGTAAGCAGTTTTTCTTTCAGTGGGAAACATAAGAGGTCATTGCTTCATTTTTATGTTACATCTCTACTGTGCCAGAAAGGTTTTTTTCATTTAAGAATGCTTTCACAGTAGAAGAGAACTATTACCATTTTTCTCCAATCTTCAAAGTGTCTTCAACCAATCGCAAACACTTCTTCTGAAGATGAGGCTTCCATATTTGCATGTAGCAAATGAGGAAGCCAGTTTCTGAAATTAAGACTAATTGTTTGTATGACAACTGGTACTTGCAGCTTCAGGGTGTAATTCCTTCTACTGGAGCCGGGAAAAACTCATGAGAAACAGAACCACCAGCAAGTGAAGAATTCCCTTTGGGCAGGGCTGTACGAGCGGTTGGTGTAACTGGAAGCGATGGTGCGATGTACAAGAAGGAATTAAGTCTGCAGCATAACAGGCATAACACTGTATTTGGGGGGGGGAAAAAGTACATGATCCCATGACTGAGGATTGCTGCCTAATACGTATGTGCAAGAAAGGTGAAGGATACAGACCCTCTGACTGAACAGGCATTTTCAAGTTGCAGTTGCTTTGCTTCCATGATCACATGTTTTATGTGAGAGATTTTTTAGAAATGTAAAGTGACACAGGAGTAAAAGGGCTGCAACACAAAATCTCTAAGTTCCACTGAATTATCAGCAAAATGGGACACCTGGCCAACTACCAGCAACAACCCATCCCCTGAAATTGAGGAGCAGTAAAGAGATCATTTGGCAGCAACTCTACATCTGCAGTAGTGTATTCCTCCCTTTCAGGCCTTAATCCACAGTTCCTAGGGAACATTTCATCCAGTTGTCTCTACTTCCAGCATCGTGAAGCATGTTAAACCCTCTCAGAAATAGTTAGAAGAACCAAGAGCGAAGAAATTTCTTCTGTGTTTTATCTGAAGTAGCAAAGGAATTCAATGTTTGTCTTGTATGAGGTCTCTACAAATACTTTTGGAGACCAGAATTTCTGCTTCTGCCAGCAGAACCCGTTGCATGCAAAAACAACCACAGCAAGAACTGGGTTGTTGAAAAGAACAGCCCAGTTGTACCCATCCTTCCCTTCTTCTGTACTGAACCACACAGGGGAGACACCATCACCATGCCGGAAACGTTTCAAACAGGAACAGAGGGACCTATGCACATCAATCTGGGACAGGGTTTTCCCCCAGTGGATGCAACAGCCCTCCCATTCATTTGGTACCATACCATGCGTATATTGACTGCCATTCCTGTGACAGTCCTGTCAACACTCTGTGCTTCTCAGTATGTTAAAACTGTCTTTGCTCTAAGTTCAACCTTCCTTAAACAATACAGCAGCTAAAAGAAAACTCAGCATCTGAGAACTGGAGTCGTGAAGTATGGAAGTTTGTTTATAAAAAATACAAATATAGTACAAGGTGTTACAAAGAGAATTTATTTGGTCAACAAAGGAAACCCAAACAAAACACTGAATTTCTGACAAAACCCACCAAAACCAAGAGTGAAGACAAATGCAGGACTGTTCATAACCCTTTTCCCTCTCCTATCTCACACCAGCTTTTCAGGTTGGTCACACCAGTAACAAGCCTTGGAGACTGGGCGTCTTAGGTTTCAGTGTTCAGTTTAACTCCATCTCATCGTATCTAAAGTGAAGGAGGTGGAACTGAAATGAAAAAGTTGCTTTGAGGAAACATAGTAACTACAAGTAAAACCAAAGATATTCCAAATTGCACTGCAGAATTGCTTTGGTGCAGCTGGCTGCTGCAGAGGGCACAGCAACTGCTGGTGTGGATTACAAACTACACATGCTACAGAGATACACCAGACACAGTGTAAATTAAACACAATTAAAATGGCATAATCATCATAATAATAATGGCATAATAATAATGTACACAATTAAAATGGCATAAGGTTCCTTTGCCTTGGCTTGGAAATGATGCTTCGTACAAACCACAGCCCTTCAGCACACAATAATACGTAGCTGCAGTGCTTCACAGAAAGTCCTTGGAAGCGTTCAGGTTACCATTTTCTAAGGAGTCACCAGCATTGAGGGGCCAATTCTGCCTCTCGTACACACACCACCTATGTGCCTCACTCTGCCTGGCCAGCTATTAGTGGGGCAAGCACAACTGACCAAAACCAAAGAGCGACAGAAGTAGAGCCAAACAGCCTGTGCAGATGCATAAGTACACACAGAAGCACATCTAACTTGCCTATGTTTAAGCTTTGTGCATATAACATGCAGGTGGCCACTGGAAAGCTGTACCTAAAATAAACATAGCCCTCAGGGCTACATGGCTTCCACACCTCCATATACAGCATACAGAGGTACCCTTAGTCTATCAAACTAGTGAGTCTTGTTTAAAGCTTCAAACCAATTAGATGTTTTTTATTAGAATGGCAAAAATCACTGTAGGCACTGGCCCTCAGAGTGCTTTGTCCTCTTAAGTTTCTCTTCTGCTAAACAGATCTCTTAACAGACAGGGCCACATCAGGCTTCTCCCCCACCCCCTTCATTAAAACATTTTTCAATATAATTTTGCTTTAGAATGGAACTCCTGCCAGACAAGTATCATTTGGGAAGAAAAACTTCCTGCTTTATAATAAACCTTTGAAAAAGAATTCAAATGGCTGGGCTACAGTAATTTGATATGTCGTATCTTGGCCAGTGGGTTCCCAGTTCTCTTTAAGTCCAAGATCAGCAGACATAACACTTCAAACTGTGCTGTTTTAAACAGGATCCAAATGCTACTATGTTAAACAAGTCTGAAAAATGGGACTACTCAATTTCCTAAACGAGAAGAACAGACAATTCGTATAGTCTTTTCCTTTTTCGCATTCCTTTAAGTTTTCCCAGCACTGAGTGTAGACATTGTTAGGTTTCTTGCAAGCGTGGTCAAGGCAGGCAGATAATCAAATGAGTGAAACTATGACTTTAAACAGGTTTGATATTATTGCCCTCCTATTACTACTTGGCAGGTGTATGTAGGTAGAATGGACTGTGACCATCGCTGACAGACAGTCTAAAAAGAACACAGGGCAAAGAAACACGCTGCCCTTGCTGGCGCCTGCCCCAGAGCCCAATCAAAACCAAAATTTGCAGTTTGTTCTTTCAGCAGCACAACCTTACTGAGGCACCCGACCCTACGTCTCTGTGCCAGGTCAGAGCACAGTCCAGGTAACTCACAGCTTAAGGGGAATAATGGGCCAGTATTTGGGCTGCTTTTTGTCACAGTTTCTATCAAAGATAAGCTGCATGGCAGCCTCCATTGCCTGGATCTTGTCAGCTTCAGCACCGTACAGTTTCTTCATTTCTGCCATTCGCCTCTCCCCAGGTCTTTCTGCAGGCGGCTCTACAGAACGCCCCATCCTTTTGTGAAGGTCTTGGTCAGCCTCCACATATTGATGCTCAGCTTCCAGCTGCTGCTGTCTCCCTAGACAAATAAACCACAAGAGATTTAAATTACTGAGCTATCAACCAATCACATTTTAACTTTTTAAATATTACATATTCAAATTTGTGCTGGGTCTAGAGGGCCGAGATCCACGCATTCCAGGGTAACAGCCAACTTCTGCAACTTACAAAACAAATCTCATGTTACTTATCCTGCTGTACTCATTATGCATAATGACAAATTCCTACTAAGCAGCAGGCTGGAAAAAACGGGGAGAAGGGAAGAAGATCCTGGAACTGAATCCTAAAACTGCAGAAAACCTCTGTATTAGTAATAGCAAGTAAAAATCAGCATTGCTTCATTTCTCCCCAACATACACATGCCCTGAAAAGAAAAAAACCCAAAACAAACCCCACAAAAAAGAAAAAAAAGGCCCCAAAACCAAACCCAGCCCGAGAGAGTTTCCAAAGTCATGACTTAGCAGCTGAGAGAAGGCAACCACACAGGACACTGCAACTTTAGCTGAACCATAGCCAAGAGACAATGGTCACCTACTACCCTATCAAAATGAATAAATTGGTCTGCCATGTTAAGTGTCTGCCATCAAGTGTATCCAATGAAACACAGCTGTAAGCACCGTGTTTAGCTAAACTGGCCAACCTCATCCATTTCTCAAGACCTGCAAAGTTCAACACTGACAGCCTTACTGCTATTGCTTTAAAGACAAGGCAAGACAGCACCCAACATAAATCCCTGCACCACATCTTTTGAAGAGTATTTAAAACAGTTTGGAGAGGTGAAACACTCGGACCAATCTGTCATCAAAAATCTTCTTTGGTAAGCCCAGGAAGCGAGAACTTTATTTTGCATGCCCAAGCATACCTCCAGTTCCTGGGTGCTGCTCTGATGGATAATATGCCCTATGCAATTAAAAGAGTGAAGTGCTATACAAGACTCCCCTCTTACGGGGGCATTTCTACAAGATGAAGAAAATAACACGGCAGTTGTTGAACCCCTTCACCTACCAACAACAAAGGACGGTTCTCAAAAGTGCATCATAGAAACAGGTCACTACTAATAAGAGCAATGTTTTTGGTTGGTTTTTTTTTTTTTTTTAAACATCAAAAGGGACAGAGTGTCCACTGGTCAGGATGTATTACTCACATACAGGACATGTGTCTCAGCGTTTGGTGCCATGTACCTCTTCCCTCCTTCCCCTAAGACAGAGATTTAGCTTTCACAAAACACATGACATCTGCAAACCCTAACCGAAAGTTAAGTATCCTGACATATCTGTGTCAAACATCTGCAGTTTATTTTTACACTGGAAAGTACTGTACAGAGCAGCCAACTGACTGTCTGTCAGCCGTACTAAATGAGTTATTCCCTGTACCTCATTCACAGAAAATAGGTATTTTGAACACTGTAATCAGAAACTTCAATTCTGGCATCTCTTCGTATGACAGGGACACAGAAAGCTTTTGTCCTGTCATTTCAAATGCCATCCACAGTTTTCTGTTGGTAGTTGAAGGGCAAGAGTGCTTGAGAGGTTATTAGAAATCTATTCCAGAGAGATGTTTCACTTTCTGTGATTTTGCTTTAAGGGCACACCCCCGAAGTGTGCTGAACTGCCAGAATTCGTGAGGAAACATACATTAGAGTCCATATGTGTTTTTGGAAGAGTCAGATTTATTTGGTGTCAGGCCATTTTAACCAGAAGGTCTGAATTAAAAGAACTAACACTGCCTACAGAGGGCCCAGCACTGGGAGGACAGGCTATAGCACTAAGGCTGTGACTACACAGGTCACTTGCATCCCACTGAAATAAACACACTGGGACACCAGACTGCCCACAACCAGGTAACATGCTTTTAAGCCTGAACTTGATGCAAATTACACTGAATAGTGTTAGACAGAAACCAAAAATCTATGCTGGAAAACCGATGTCTCCCACTGTAAGTTACACTGCAGAACTCTGGCAGGGCAATGAATTGGACCCATATTTGTTGACTCTCTTGTGCCACAAAGATAATTGCTTATGCCCATAGAAAATTTGCATTCATTAGTGCCATAGCTGCATGCTAGAGACAGCTGCTTCCTTGCTTGCTTGCCGTAGAATGCTCTCTGATAGCTCATTGCACACAATAACACTTAAGAAAAAATAATTTCTCTGGAGATAGATAATGAATTCTTCTGTTTGGAAATTAAATGGGTCTCTAGCAGAAGCTTTATGATGGATGAGTGGATTACAGTTTAGTGTGCATCAGTCTCCATTTTGTAGCACAGAGTAGTTCATAAACCTGCAGATCCTAATGTTAATCAAAATAATAATACCAATTTAAATTCCATTCTCAAAATTACCTAATGAATGTCTGGAGTATGTGTTTTACTTTACACTAATCAGATGTACTGCCCTTAACTTTCTCACCCGCCTTTTACTGTTCCATAGCTCCTAGTTAAAAAATTCCTAGAGTGACTCTGTTACAGAGTCTCAGACACGTAAAAAGGTCTACAGTGTCCAGGTAGAGGCTGGGGACAGAAATCTGCTACAGGGACCCACAGTTTTTTGTACCAAAGCCTGAATTTGAGCACAGAACATGGCAGCTGTTGCTGGTAATACCACTGTAGCTGTGTGGAATACGCTACAGTTTCCAATCAGTTATTGGTGGAAAGATACTACCATGACAAACTCCACTGTCAGTGACAACACTATTTGCTGTCATGGACAATCAAGGAAAGAGAAGCCATGGAACTAAATCAAAGAATCATAGAATGTCAGATTGGAAGGGACCTCAAGGATCATCTGGTCCAACCTTTCTTCACAAAAGCATGGTCTAGACAAGATGGCGCAGCACTCTGTCCAGTCAAATCTTAAAAGCCTCCAATGCTGGGGATTCCACTGCTTCCCTGGGGAGATTATTCCAATCGGAACCTCCCCAGGAGTAACTTGTACCCATTACCCCATGTCTTTTCCATATAATTTCTTCTAAAAAGGGAGTATCCATCTTCTTTGTAGCCACCCTTTAAATAGTGGAACATAGTGATAAGGTCTCCTCTAAGCCTTATTTTCTCAAGGCTGAACAAACCCAGTTCTCTCAGCCTTTCCTCATACGGCAGGCTTCCCAGGCCTTTGATCATCTCTGTGGCCCTTCTCTAGGCCCTTTCCAGCCTGTCCACATCTTTTTTTTGTATAGTGGGGACCAAAACTGAACACAGTATTCCAGGTGTGGCCTGACAAATGCCAGGATTGTAGAGTGGGATAATGGCTTCTTTATCTCTGCTGGTAATGCCCTTGTTGATGCAAGCCAGCATCCTGTTGGCTTTCTTTGCCGCAGGAGCATGTTGTTCATATTGAGCCTGCTGTCCACCAGGACCTCCAGGTCCCTTTCCACAGCGCTGCTTCCCCAGCCAGGAAGATCCCAGTCTGTGCTGCTCTCCTGGATTAGGTTTTCCCAGGTACAAGGCCTTACATTTGTCTTTGTTGAACGTGCTAAGTTTCTTGTTCCAGCCTAACCAGGTTTTCCTGCAGGGTGGCTCTCCCTTCTGAAGTGTCCACTTCCCCACTCAGTTTGGTATCATCAGCAAACTTCATCAGGGTATACTCGATGCCATCATCCAGATCTCTTACTGAACAGTGTTGGGCCCAGTATCAATCCCTGGGGGACCACACTTGTGACAGGTGGCCAGTTTGAAAAGGAGCTACCTAACACCACCCTCTGGTGTGGCCTGTCAGCCAGTTCCTCATCCATGGCACAGACCACTTGTTGAGACCATAATGCATCAGTTTCTCTAGGAGGCAGCTGTGGGAAACTGTATCAAAATCCTTGGATGGTCACTTCCATATCTTCCCCAAGATGCTCTCCCCCTCCTGAAGCTCTTTTTGGAATTAACTTCTCCTACCAAGTCCGGTTCTGCTGGAAGTCACATTACCTGGCCAAACACATCTGAGACATCTACCAAGTCCAGTTCTGCTGGGAAGTCATCTTTACCTGGCCAAAAACAGTTGAGACCTCTTTTCCCAAACACAATAAATAGCCTTTTTTTCTCTATATTTTAAGGAATACTGAGATTTCTACCTAACTCATACTGCACCCTGGGACATCATCAGTGATTCCAGGCCTTTTGAAAGAAAGTTCTGCGTTGTCATGCCCAATCCCCACTCCCTCCCCCACTTCTTCCACCTTTTACGGATGACTTTTAATCTGCAGTATACTAGCTGAAAAGAAAAGCGAACAAATACAGACAACTACTTCCATCCTCAGGGACTGCCAAAAGCAGAATAAACAGTAACTAGTACCTTAGCTATTCACTGCATTTGGGGCTTCACAAATGCCCTCTTACATACTTTCAGCAAAACTATGACCTAAGCCCTTCAAGACATAAGCTATTTTCCCCATCGGCCCTCAGAAACTCAGACGTCTTGTTTCTCTTATTTTATGAAAAGGAAAACATTATATACTTTCCGTAAATTTGATCCACTTTGCTCTTCTTTCTTTTTAATATCCTTTGAGAAGCTTAAGTAGTAATAAAAAAAAATTCCTGTCTGGAATTCATCCTTTTCTTATAAAAAAACAAAAACAAAAAAAAACCAAGGAAAAAATCAACCTCAAAACCAAAACCCTCCCAAATTCCCTTATTTGGAGAGAAGTCTCCAAGGAGAGACTTTTCAACATTAAAAGGAGATAAAAGTAGGGAGGGTAATTATCGATGTTGGATTTTCAATGAAGGCACTGAAGGATTCATACCCAGCATTGTGTGCTTTCTTGTACCATTTTTAGCTCTTAATATTTATGTGTCCAACCCCTAGCTCACTGTAAGCCAGTGATCATACGCAATCTGACGACGTTTCTTAGGCAGGCAGCCTTCTCCACAGCTCTCTAGGTGCACACACTCTGCCGTCTGCCACGTTCCTGGCTCTGCCCACAGTAGTTATGGCAAGAGACCAAGGGCTTGCTCCCCCTAAGGGTCAAATGGCCTTTACTGACTTTCAGTTTCTTGCTTAGTTAGCACATTATTCTTCAAGGAAATACTGCACTTTC